TATATTATATATTATATAGGCAGTGCATTCTTCTTCCATGTTGCTGCTCTTCTGCGCCCTCCATACTCATATTCTTGTTCATTTATATTAATTTTCTTAATAAAATTGTGATTTAAAAGATAGACTGCTTGCAAACTTCGTGTTGAACAACGACCAATAAGTAAATCTACAAATATATGGGAAAATACTGATGCAAAATTACACCAACAAAAAGGAGTAGAGAAGATGTGCGTAGTATATCAGTGCCATTATTAACTTAACAATTATGTTTTCAGCACCCTTTCCTGCAGCAACTGTATGCAACCTGAATGCCTTCAAAAACAGCGAATTGAGAAAGTACGAAACAATTTCTGAAGGAGTGAGTTTATATTATGGTATACTTCTGATTATATGTATAAAATTTTACACGAATGAACCAATGAACACGGTGTTTAATTGGATCTTACCGAAAAAGAATTTCAGGGTATTAGGTACTTCAATTTTTGAATTTCATGCTGAACTGGAATATTCAAGTGAAAATTTGAAGATTTGCATTGATTTGGCAATTTGAGGACAATTTTGAGCCTTAACATGTTGGCTTTCAAAAGCTTCCACATTACAGCTAGACATTTGGGAAGAGAGAATTAATCATTATAAAGGTTCAACGACTCATTCAAATACTCCGATGAGAAAAAGACGTGAAGTTAGTTATGCCCCTGTTTTTGTTCGATGTAATTGTATGCAGTTACATGATCACTGTGTTCCTCAACGAAATCCTTTGCTGGTGAGGATTTTAACGCTTCGTTCTCCTTCTGCTTAAGAACTTTTCTCTTTGGACAAGGAAGTTTTGCATATACAATGTTATTAATGGTCTTGATAATTACAGAGAAATGCAACAGTGTGCATATGTTTCGAAGATATAAATACTGGTAATATTTGGCCATGCTATCCCACAATCACGTGGACAGAAAAGGTGATATGTATTCTTCCTCAAAAGCATTTATTTCTGGAAAAAATTGAGTGTACTCAACAATACTCACATGAAATTTACAGCAATGTTTTGATTGCTCATTGTCGAAGACATGTGATGATCCAGATCGGCCTAATTCGACCACCTTACAATCAGCTAATAGCTACAAATGCTTGTGCCAATTTGTTTCCAATAACTGCGTCATCGTGCCGAAAGATGATATCCGCTGGTGGGATCCGAACAACTATACCGTCTTAGCAATCACTCAATCACCCATCACTTCTTTGGAACTTGCCGAAGCTTTTGGCATGACTGTTTGTTTTAATCGGAACTTGCTTTCTTGCAATTATTTACCCTCTTCACTATCTAATGTCCCATACTCATAATTGCCAAAAAAGACGAGTTGGTCTGAAGTATCGGCAGCTTAACCAGTTCATCTGGACGGAATAATCAAACGATTGACTTTATAAACCTTCTGAATCCTATGATACCAATATACAACATATCATCGTAGATCATTTGAAAGCTACGCTAGAGTGAATGAACAGATAATTTTATTCAATTTGACATAATCGATGAAAAATTCTAATTTCGAAAAATAATCTATTTGAAGGAGAGACAAGATCCAGCTGCTATGACGGCCAAGGCGAAAGAGAACTTAATATTTATGGTTGCTGCACTGTCATTTGAAATACGTCGGAACTTATCCTATACACTTGAAGAATTTGTACTTCGTTGTTCATTCAACAGTGAAGACTGCAACCTCGAAAGGTTTGTTTTAATCTTCCGTTTATGAAAATTTTTAATCAACCGTTGTCGAACATGATCGCTTACATAAGAATTTATACCACAGTTTATTTTGAAAAATAAAGCCATATATCTCATAAAACTGTTTCTTCAGAGATTTCAAGTTACATATGGATCCTGAATACGGTAACTGTTACACATTCAATTTCAATGATTCTGTTGAACTGAAAAACAGTCGCGCTGGTTAGTATCACTGTTTCAGCAAGCAGCTTTAATGATATCATAATCAGCTTGACAGTACAATAGGGATATTATTGTTGGAGGCCATCCATCTGACCTTGCATTTTACCATAACCGAACATGTTGCTGTAAAATCAAAGAAAATCATGGAATGACCGCTAAAGAAAATAACGTCATTAAGGATTTCTGTATGTGGAACCCGTTTCCAGCGGATCATTATATATATGGAGGAAGTGAACTGATGAGTTTGGTAGCCTATTTTTAGGACCGATGTATGGGCTGCGTCTATTGTTGAATGTAAATCAAAGTGATTACTTGCCAACAACCGAGGCAGCTGGTGTTCGACTTGTTGTGCATGAACAGGTAATTGAAGAATTGAATGGAAAACATGATACGACAATGAAACATTCGAATTCTTTCAGGATCAAGAACCCTTTCCGGATACATTCGGGTACAGTGCGCCAACTGGAGTGGTCTCATCGTTTGGTCTGAAAACGGTTAGCAGCAGATTATTGTGAAAATCGTGATTATCAAATTATCTCATGCAGAAGGCCATTGTATCGAGCATCCATGTTTCAGAAGGTATTACATCGCCTGGATGCACCCTATGGAATGTGTAGTGATACGTTCAGGCCTACTGGTTATATTTATGCGGAACGTTACTCACCGGAGGTCATGTTTCATTAGTCAATTAATCTCAACTTTAGTATCTTGAAGCTATAAATTGTGAAACAAAGCAATAATTTAACTGATATTATTTTATTCATTTTAGGGTTGCTACCGTAATTGCTTTCAACATACAGTACTAGAGAGATGTGGTTGTGGAGATCCACGATTTCCCCTACCTTCTGACGACTGTCATCCATGCAACGTTAAAAATTCTACCGAACGTGAGCAGAAATAGCTGTTTTGGGAAACATTTTTATTTGATACCGAACTTTTGCGTAGAAACAAATAAATTCAGTGCTATAGCAATAGCACATAATGCGCTTCATTATTTTGTCAGTAATGGTAATGGATAAAGTACTTGGCACTAAAGTGACTCGATCAATATTTTTATTACTTCTTTCTCGAAAGACTTTGACGAACAGAATTTCTGCTTTAATCTACTAGACGAAGTGCAGTTCAAGTCAACCAATACCTGTATATTGTGTAAAACTTGTAGGTAGTTGCTTGCGTAACTTTACTCAACACTCTGGTGGTTTCCATCATATACAGCAAAATTGTGAATGTGTGCAACCATGCAACGAAAACGTCTTTGAAACAGCATACTCCGCAGCTTCTTGGCCAGCGAAAAATTTTATCATTGGTGTAGAATGTCCAGCCGTTGTCGACATTGCAAATGATTCCCGAGCTTGTACGGAATACTATAGGTTCATTTAACTTGTATTCTTTGTTCATTGTCTTTGCCAAATGTCTGTTATCTCTCAAGCAAGCTTTTGAAGTAGAGTTTTTGTGAAAAATATATTAATTTAGAAAAAATACAGCATACATCGAAATTTACTACGAGCAGCTCAATTTTGAAACACTTCGCGAAACTGCTGGATACTCGGTTCGTTCCAAAATTTCTCCTTCCTGTTTCTGAATGTTTAGCAATGTTTCAAGTAGTAAGCGTTAAAACAAGAGAATACGCATTTAATGACGCTGCATCAACAAAACTAGCTCACAATTGTCCCCAGCTACTTTCGGACTATGCGACTTTTTTTCTCAAGTTCCATTAGTCCAACTTTCTTATACCAGATGTTGTTAACACAGAATAACCCTTCTCAAGAATCAATCGATGATGGTTTTCGCACCACAAGCTTTAAAAATGCAGACATGAATATGAAAGATCTATTTCAGATTGTGAATTTATTCTCCGATTTTGGCGGCAATATCGGTCTCTGGATTGGCTTCTCAATCATAACAAGTAAGCAGTGAAACCCCCGCTTGTATGAGTTATCATCAGGCATTAGAAAAAAAACCTTATCAGCAAGACATTAAACCAAAAACTGATTTTGCAGTGATGGAAATTGTTGAATTAGTGTGCGAAATGTGTTACTATTTGGTATACAGACGGCCGATGCAGATGGTGCGACGTAAACAACGGGATACAGTGCTAATAAGACGCCAATTTCGATTTCGTACTGATAGCTCCTCTGCGTTATCGACAGCAGCAGATAAATCATCATTACCCACTAAATCAAATTATAACATGCTACGATGTTGACGCAATTATCAGCCATATCCATCAATTACTTAACGGATTGTGCCATAATTTTCATTTTTGACCTACATTTTCTAGTCATTCTAGTTCTCTCATCAATTATTCCTATATTACCACTACACATTTCTGTAGCTTCGAAATTTACTTAACAAGCAACAAGCAGTAAACACGAAATTTCCTCTACAAACGTATTAATACAACTGATTTCAAAAGTCTTTGCGCTGAAAGTTCGAAAACTATTTCCACTAATTTTCGATTAGAATTAAATCAGAGTATTGATGGTTTTTTCTTACAGCCTTAAGGAAAAAGTGTCCGAATTACATTATTAAAAGATAACTCATAAATGTGCTATGAATGTGGTAAACACCGAAGAAAACTATTTTTCATGTGTTAATCAAATCAGACAGAAAGATAGGAAAATAACACGATGTAGCAACAGTTACAAAATTAAACTGATCGGCATGTTCAATTCATAAGCCAAAGATTTGTTAAATAATTTCAAGCTTAAAAGATTTCTTTCCTTAAGGACGGTTACGTCCTTACTCAAAACTTAAAATCGAAATTCCCAAATTTATTGAAGCTTTAAAAAATAAACTTGGTACTTGCGGACAACAAGATTCGAAAAATCGGAGATAGAATGGTACGCATGATAATTCTGGAATCCCCTCATCACATCATCCACTTCTGATCGCTTACAACAAAAAAAAAAGTGGAGAATCTGTATCATAATACCTTAATTTATGCAAGCAGCGGAGTGGACCACTACTTCAACTGGAACTCAAAAAAAAATATGAAAAGGTAAAGATGATACGTACGCATATAAAAGAGATAGAGCAGGAAGCATTGAGTAATACATGGTAAGAAGGATACCGAATATCAGGTAGACATGACATGAGTCATGGAAAAAAAAAACTGAAAAATCTCTGGGAAGTAACTGGAAAATATGAGCTATAGCAAAATTTAAAAAATAAAGGAATACCACGAGGAACAGTGCTCTATAGTATTACTACCGTAAATACCAGCATACAAGTTTCAGCAATGTCACAGTAAGATGAGCATTTCATTACTGGTCTTTTTGAGTGTAATTTAATTAGATGACCAATTGGTTAATCAGTATAAAGAAGTTAACTGTCGTAGTACACACTGAGAACATTGATTTCGCCAGTGGAAAATGTCTGCGTTGAGGCATCGCTTACTTGTCGCGGTGAAAGAGTATTTGGAACGACGACGCTGCTGACAATTGGTGTTGCAACCCCTCTCCTTGTTGACCTAAATGGTGTGGTCGTACCGTTGGTTTGGAATACTGCCGGTGGTGGTCGATTTGCATTCGGTATCAGCCCTTTCAGACACTTCTCCTCAAAGAGTGCCAAAAGATGCTTTGGCAAAATACCACTCATCATACGATACAATACCGTTACAAGACAGTGCGCTTCCTCAACCACAGTCACTAGAAAATCCTCCGTTATCGGTCTTAGACCCCAACTGAAACAATTTTACGGGAAATACTTTATTTCTCGAAAAAAAGCATCATTAATTAATAACATTTCAGATACAGATAGATAATAAATCTTGAACCTTGGCGAATGACTGAGTTTCCTTGGCGTTGTATCTGACATCATAATTGACTGTGGATAGTAAATCCTTTGAAGATTTCGGAAAGATACTGTATGCATATCCGTCAAAGCTTTACCAAATTTCTCATGTTGCAATATCGCATGGGCTACCTGTCACAGAAAATTGAGCCCAAAGATCTTATCGATTTTGCAGTCAACTACAAATTAAAAGTAAAACAATTCACGTGGTCTGTCACTTGAAGTAGTATAAAAATACGAACTTACCTGGGTATCGAAGATTTTTCTAAGATTGATGGCATAACGATGAGCAAGCAAAGTGGCCACTCTCTTGGCGTCATGAATTACCTGAGAAACTAAACATGTAAGAAAAGTTAACATAGGATTTACACCCATGCTTCAGTTGGCAAATTAACTACCAAGACCAATCGCACAATCAGAACACAAGTATAGTCTCTTAATGATGGTATGATCGCACGTTGGAAGAGTTGCGCATTGATCTTGCAGAAGACGTTTATGACGTTTGCAATCAAACCCAATCCACCGGTAGATAATCGATTAGGAACTACTTGGACTTCGCAGGTCAACATGAAATAGCAAAACAGTATCTTCTATGCTTCATTAAAGCCTTAAATTATTAGCAGTTTGATACTTCTCAAACACTTCAATTCTAGGATGATGGAACCAAGTTTTGTGTCATTTCTGTATCACAAAGTCTAGTCATTCGAAATGATTACAAGGAACTCCGTGAAATACAAACTAAGGATTACAAAATCTCTATGAGGTACAATAAAATATACCTTAATAATTTTTTCAGATTCTAAAATTTCCTTAACACCACTTTCTAGTAATATGGTGTCACTGTGAACAACATCGAAAACAACGATTTGCGTGGTCGTTGCCAATACGATCAGAGACAGGAACTCTTCTCCTTGTACGCCAAGGATAACAGTCTTGAAATCAACACCAACAACTCGTTCTTCCATATTATCAATTTCCGCATTTATCGATGACACCGATTCCTAAAAAATCCTTCCACGAACTTGACTATATTAAGTTACAAAACTAAATATTGCGGTGACAAAGTTTATAAATATTACTGAACAGATGTGCCACAGAAAAGCTAGAGGAGTGATAAAAAGACTCGGTACCTGCGCAGGTTTCAAGGCTTTAACAAGATTGATTCGATTGATAGCATTATGATTTAGATGGCTATTATTATTTTCAATTTCTGAACTTTCAGTGGAGCCACTTTCTGAACCATCCTCTGAAGCGCGATTTTTCACAAGCGAAACCTAGTGAAGAACGAAATTTAAAACTAGAATCATATCGTACTCGAAGAAAATTTTGATGGAAAGTAACGACAAATGATTACCCTAATAATTCCTGCTAAAATAATCACTCTATTAAAGGGCTAAAACAGTTCAATACACCAAACAGCGAGCAAGAAAAAAATTCTTGCATTTTTAGCTAAACAGCAAGCAAAGTAAACGACAATTTTCCTCGCAAAAATAACCTTATTAGATCTAATGAAAAATACGTTGCGATTAAGCTTCAAAAACTGCAGTAATTCCTTCGGATTGGTTGCTACTTCCTGTCTAATGGTATGAGAGAAACGATCGCAAAATTTTTGATAAAATGCATCCATTGGTACCGGCTGTTCATCATTCTACAAATTGGGATTTCTAACATGGATAATGCTTTCATTTTCGGTTTCAAAAGCACAAAAGGATTTGTTTTTTCAAAACCAGCTTTTTTACAATTCCGCAAGAAAACAGATCATAATTCTTCCAGTGTTCAGAAATTAATAACATCCTAACCACTATTAAAAAGTAAACCATAAATGACCATCGCTTTCAACTGCGCAATATTGAACTGCAAAATATTATGCTTTAAATTTAAAGGCTATGGAAAAAACCTGCTCCACAACGGATCTAAGATATTCAACAGCCGCTTGTTTGGCTTTGACACCAGCTAAGGGTTTTCCTTCATCATCCAATTCAATACCAGCATTACTAGGTTCCGGCATATTTTTCAGCCGAACTCGATCTCCTTCAACCACAAAGTGATCACTCTGCGATTGAAGGAACTCGCAGAAATCCTTTAGATGCCTACCAGATACCAGACGTACTTCAGGTGCCGCTTGTGAACGATGACCGAGCAAACTTTTAATCTGCAAATGTATTTGGAATAATCTAAATGAACAGTCACTAAAGCATAACAAAATTCCTAATGTCTCAAAATACTTACTTGAATGTGAGCAAATAAAAATATGAATTCAGTCTCTGCAATCTAAACTACACTTTTTTCAAATTATGGCTGATATTATAATAAGAGTGAAAATGACTCGTTGTTCCCAACGGAGCACTTTTGCATTTATGAAAAAGTCGTGTAGTAAACAAGACATTCCTGCAACTCCGGTCCAAACTTCTGTAGTTTTGTTTCAAAAAATTGCACCGCTTCCTTCACATAATCACGATTCCTAGTATTTGCAGTTGCTTGCAATAAAGGATTATTCTTCACTGTCATATCACCAAATCCATTTAAACAAACCTAAAAAAATCAAGCTTTTTAAATCAAATGCTTAATGTGAAACTGCAACTAAACATTGGAAAAATCAAAAACAAAGAAGTGACAAAACCATTACGCACGAATATGCCTACACGTTCATTCTCATTTAGAGCTAAGTAAAAACATGGAAGTGATTTTTAAGTAAATTAAAATCAATCGATCGAAGATCAGCGAAAGTTGATAACTCATAAATATAGGCTAAATGAAGTCATTGTCAAGAAGGCATTAGTCAGTTCAACTACCGCCTATGCAGAACTTATTTCGTTACCTTAAAAGAGAAAATAAATATAATGACTCTGTATGCCTAATGAACCTTTACAAAACTGTTTGGAGATCGTTATACTGCATTAAATTGATTAGTGATTTACCTGATCACCTTCAACAGTAAACAGCGAAGGATGCTGATTAAGGAAATCGGTGAGACCTTCTTGTGTGGTACCAACCGCATTGCGCATTTCTGCCGTGAAACCACGTGCACCGAATTGGCAGCTGAGATCATGGATTGTGCGCCGACCATTCTTTTGCATTAAATGGTCCATGAAAAACAACAATGCCATATTCTTCGCCTCGTCCATTACACGACCACTGAATCTCTCTTTTTTACCTGAAATACAAGTCCGATTGGCTTTAAAACGATATCGCATCGCTTATTCAGAAACTACATGTGCAGGAATGCCTGTTGCAGGAATGCCACGACTAAAAGCAAATTACCACAGAAAGCAGCGCTTTTCGAAACACCAAATGTACTCAAAAAACATCGTGAAACTATAAATGAAAGATTGAACATTCTCTTCGTAGAGAAAAGTGAGCAACAGTTAACAGCATTATGAGTCGAGCGATTCACAATCTAATTACGGATAGAACAAGCTTTGAAAGAGAAAATTTAGTAATAAATTGTATGTGCAGAAGCGAGTAGAGCGGCGTTCTTCGCATACGTGAATCACAGATGTTTAAACTAATTTTCTGATAGATTCCTGAATTTGTAGGTAGATGAAGTTCGAAACAGTAATTCCTGCCAATGGCTAAGAGGTCCTGT